ACAAGGAGTTCCATTTATTAAAAGTTTTCTGAGCGCCAAGTGCTGTGCTAAGGGCTTCATCAGCATCTCATTTTTTTCCCAAGAGGTCTTTCTTGAAATAATAGCCCTATTAGATTTCTGTGTAATAGTCACCCTTTCTGCTTTCACACAATAGATTAAAAAAGCTTTCTACAGGAAGTGCACAGACAATTCAATAATTAGAGCCAACTCAACTGTGTTTGATAATAAAATAGCCTATTTAATAATTGAAAGTAATATTACTGAACCATATGAAAGTAAAGATACATAAATGTGAGGATCTATGAGGCTGTAAAACTAACATCATTATTCTGCATTACACAAACCAGATCAAGAAAAAAAATTCCAACTAAGCTTTTGGAGAGCAAAGTGTAAATTTCCCGTTCTAAATTACCATGCAGGCATAACATTGCAAGCCATGCTATGTATATAGTCCATAGCCAGGCTCTTAATTTTTAAGAGAAAAAGTGCTAGTCAGTAAAGTTTACTGTACTGTCAAGTGTCCCATACCATAAAATATTGACATCTCATTTAATGCTCTCAGCAAGTACTCGATAGCATCATCGTCCCAGATAAGAAGACCGAGGCTCAGGATGGCTGGGTCACACAGCAGCACGTGGGCAGAGCGGGGAGATCAGACTCTATTCTTTGTTGAGTTCAAAGCCTGAGTCCTCATTACTGCACTCTCTTGCCCCTTTGAGCCCAAAGAGGGACACTTCTCCCTTTTGGATGATTTCCATCAGGGTCCTCTCCCAGCAACGGTTATCAAAAAAATCTGCACTCAAGTCAGTGATGTGGAACAGGTGGGAATACTGGCAGGAATCCTCGGCTGTACTTGCCTAGCCTTGCACCCTGGGCCCAACTTACTTCTCCAGCCTCATCTCTTGCTCTTTGCTCCACGGAGATGGCCTCCTTGGAAGAGCCAGTCACATCTTCCCTCCATGTCTGTTCACTCAGTTCCCTTCTGGAATGCCCCTCCCTTTTCTCAGGTCAGAGAATTCCTTCTCATCCATTAAGGCCCTGTTTAAAGGTCACCCTCTCCAGAAGGGGGGCTGATGGCTGCCCCTCTCCCTCACCCCCAACTCTGGCCAGGTGGCAAGGATAGCCCCAGTCCCAGTGTGTTCTAGTTTACGTGGGTGTCTCCCTGCCAGTACTGCGCTTGCCTTCCTGGGCCCTCAGGTGACTCACGCGTGGTCCTGTCATTATATGTTTTATTGTCTCCCTCTATGGTCCTGTGAGTGCAGGGACCCTGTCTATTTTATTTGGCTCTTGTCATGCTTACTCCTGACACAGCCTGACACATTGAAGGTTCTCAGTAAATCTGTGTTGAATCATGAGAGACAATACCACCCCAAAGTGAAAAAGTCAACCACTAAGCCATTTTGTTACAAAATATCATGGAATTGTATCAGTTAGTGTTTTTCTCTCCCCATAAGTCTACTTATCCCCACTGAGTAAACACTTGAGATGTAAATTAGGTGAAAGGCCGTTGTCATCTAATAGAGATAATTTGGTCCTACCAGGATAAAGAGAAATATTTAGGGTCATTTCCCAATATTAGTAATGCTGACTTTACCTTCAACATCATTTTAAGGGAAAATAATTCTAATTACCTAAAGAGTGATTTTAAAAACACTAACCAGATGCTTTCCTTCATACAAGGATATAAATCCACAAGCATCATCCTTGAGGTTTTTTTTTTTTACCTTAGATTATATATTTGCTGATTATTTTTTAAAGTTTTTTTAAATATTGATTTTTTTTTTAATGTAGGTACTAGGGATTAAACCCAGGACCTCATGTATGCTAAGCATGTGCTCTACCACTGAGCTATACCTACCCCCCTTTTTTTGCTGATTATTATTGGTGATATTATGATTGTCAGGCTATGTGCACTTTTTGAGGTTCATTTGCCTCCATTTGGCCATTTAACTTCTACACCGGCCTTGTGAAAGAGATGGTCAACCCATGCCATCCATACATGACTGTTAATGAACCACACCGCTTGAAAATTCAAATGGAGCAGTCTTTACATGATTGCTTGTTGTTTGAAGAAAAACGGTTAGAAAAATAAATGTTTCCAAGGCTCCTGATGATCTGTGTGTTCAAGGCCCTTCACCTGTCCAGGCCTCAGTGTCCTCATCTGTAACAGGGGTTTGGACGAGACTGGATGACCTCCAAGAACCCCTTCTGTTCTAAAATTCTGTCAGTGAGGCCTGGAATCTCAACATTGTCTGTATTTTCAAGATTTAAGAAAACCTCAAAGGATGTAGTACCAAGATTAATTTTTCTCACATAGGCAAAACATTATCCAGCATAAATCTCAGCAGTGTTCTCCTAGGGCAGTCTACCCAAGCAATGGAAATAAAAGCAAAAATAAACAAATGGGACCTAATTAAACTTACAAGCTTTTGTACAGCAAAGGAATCCATAAGCAAAACAAAAGACAACCTATGGAATGGGAGAAAATATTTGCAAAAGATGAGACTGACAAGGGCTTAATTTCCAGAATATGTAAACAGTTCATACAACTTAATAAGAAAGAAACAAACAACCCAGTCGAAAAATGGGCAGAAGACCTAAACAAGCAATTCTCCAATAAAGATATACAAATGGCCAATAGGCACATGAAAAAATGCTCAGTATCACTAATTATCAGAGAAATGCAAATCAAAACTACAATGAGGTATCACCTCACACCAGTCAGAATGGCCATCATTCAAAGGTCCACAAACAATAAATGCTGGAGAAGATGTGAGGAAAGGGAACCCTCCTGCACTGTTAGTGGAATGTAGTTTGGTACAGCCATTATGGAAAACAGTATGGAGAGTCCTCAAAAGACTGAAAATAGATGACATATGATCCAACAATCCCACTCCTGGACATGTATCCAGAGGGAAACTTAATTCAAAAAGATACATGCACCTCAATGTTCACAGCAGCACTATTTACAATAGCCAAGACATGGAAACAACCTAAATGTCCATCAACAGATGACTGGATAAAGAAGATGTGATATATATACACAATGCAATACCACTCAGCCATAAAAAGTAAAATCATGCTATTTGCAGTAACGTGGATGGACCTGGAGATTGTCATACTAAGTGAAGTAAGCCAGAAAGAGAAAGAAAAATACCATATGATATCACTTACATGTGGAATCTTAAAAAAAAAAGATAAGCAAACATTTACAAAATAGAGACAAATTCACAGACACAGAAAACAAACTTACGGTTACCGGCAGCGGGGGAGAGGGTCGGAAGGGATTAATTGGGAGTTCAAGATTTGCAGATACTAACTACTATATATAAAATTGATAAACAACAAGTTTATACTGTATAGCACAGGGGACTATATTCAGTATCTTGTAGTAACTTATATAAAAAGGAATATGAAAATGAATATATGTCTGTCCCTATATGACTGAAGTATTGTACACCAGAAATTGACACAATATTGTAAACTGACTATACTTCAATAAAAATATTTTTTGAAAGATTAATTTTTCTCTTACCATCGTTGAAAAGTATTTTTTACTGTGTGGCACAAGCTCAAACTCTTTTTTTATACTTTCTCCTCCTTAGTGTCTTACATTTATATAGAGTTTTCAAGTCATTGATTTTATGGTCATTTTCTGAAACAAAAATATCTTTAAAAATCAGTACAACAATTATAAGTCCTGGAGATGTCATGTAAAGCATGGTGACTATAGTTAATTTTGTTGTAGCGCATGTTTGAAAATTACTAAGAGAATGGATCTTAAAAGTTCTCATAAGAAAAAGATGTTTGTAACTATGTATGGGGATGGATGTAGTGACAATTTCCCAATGAATATAAATGTCGAATCACTAGGTTGTACACCTGAAACTGATATCATGTTATATGTCAATTATACCTCAATAAAAATATCAATATGACCTGCTACTATAATACAAAAGACAAAGATAAAATGATTTATTATAAAAATAATATGTATTTCAACACATAAATGCTCAGATGTGATTCCAACAGAAGACTCAGTGGAAGAGGCCAGTGCCTACTTCTTAGTGGATGAAAGCAATTGCTATGGCCTAGACTGACGTGAGTGTGTTGTATTCGAGGTGCAAACATCACCAGCAGTATTGCTCCCAGGGTTGTGATTTTCTGAAATGGTGAACAAATCTTGGTATCATTTTAGATGAAACAATGTATAATCTTGTCATTTTACATGGTAGTTGCATTCTTAGAGGATTCAACATGTTTTAAACCCACATGAGAAGTACTTTGCATTTACGTGTACAATGGAGTTGGTTTCTAGGTTAGTAATTATAAAGTACCCCCCAACCCCATTTATGTGACTATCTGACAGAACATTTGAAAGTCAGGTAGACCCCAGGAAAAGAGTATCATTGTGTGTGGCTGTCCTGTGCTGCTGGAAGTCTGGAATCCCTGAACACCCCTGTTGAGTACCACTGCCCTAAACGACTGGTTTTCAAATGTCCATGGGCTTTCCTACCTCCAGGCCTTCACCTTTGCCTCATCTTGTTTGATAGGCCCTTGCCCTCAGCTCTGTCTGTGCGTTCTCCAAGGCTCACCCCAAATGTCTTCTCTATGAAGCTTTGCTTTATTTTGATGAATCTGCCTCAAACTCCTGTAGCCTTCAGACTCATATTCGGCCTTGAAATATAGTTATTTGTGTTCAGAACCCACTTCCACTCCCTTTAACTCCTTGACTTTACATTATAGATAATTTTATCTCCTCTATCTCCCAGGCATCTAGCACAGAACCTTGCACGTAACAGGCAAGTAATAAATACTTGTTAAACATAATTACTCTCAATGACTTTGACAGAATCTTCATGCCTCTGAGATACATAATCCATTAAAGCTTCTTTGCATAACTTGATTTTCTAGATCCTAACATGCCTAAATTTCTACAGAAAATATTGCATTTGAAAAATAAAAGCAAGACTGAAGTTGCATGTACTAAAATACTCTGAGAATATTAGGAAGTTGATTACAATCTTGGGTTGCTGCAACTGTGTCACTTAATCGTAGTCTGCAAGTTGGTCCTCTCAGATTACTTCCTTTTTCCTTCTGCTGGTTCATAACATAATTCTCCCTGGTAATTTCCAGAATCCGAGGGCTGAGTTCCACTATTGTGACTAGAGTAATCTAGGATCATATATGTTAGATTTAATATGGGCTAGAGCCAAAGAAACTGGGCAGTAGGTGGGAGATGCTGTATGTGTGCACTGCAAGACCACCTACCCAGGGTGGTGGCCATGACCCCTAACAGGCACCTGATATTAAGGGGATGCAGAAACTTCACAGGTCACATAGCCTGACTTTTCTTTCTTCCCATACAACTCTTTGTAACATGATCAATCTTTGCATTTTGGGAAATGAGAGTAATGTTTTGGTTCATACAAAATTTTTTTATGTAAAATCTTGAAAACGGATGAGAGGCATCTGGTGGGAAAAGTCACTACCCCTTTTGGGGTGAATATTCTGAGGCTGCTAATCACACATATACAATATATGTGTCAGCTGTACAGCTGTGAGTATCACTCAGTGTTCCCAATCCCTTCTGCTTCCCCAGCCCGTTAACATATTTTAGCAATAATGGGAACATTTTCACCTAATTTGAGCACATTTCTGAACTGTAGGTACTCAGCTTGAAACTGGTATTCTTGACGAAGACTCAAATGTCTTGGCCTTTTCACTTCTTGTAGAAGTGTTCATTGCTTCCAGCAGTTTAAAGCCATGTATACTTGCCTAGATGAAACTGAAGAATTGGTTGGCATTTATGGGATTTCAGGACAGAAGGTAATCTCTTTTTAAAATAATACCCATTTTGTTACTATTTAATAAAAGAAACCCCCATTATTTAGGATGTACATAACACCTTTCCATGGCATTGTATATCTACAGTGACAGCCAGCATTGCTTGTAGTTACTGCTGAATATTTTGTTGAACAAATACTTATATAATACTTACAATGGGACAGGCAACATTCTAGGAAATTTAGAAATATTAACATTTAATTCTCACAATAACCCTGTAAAAGAGAGACTGTGATCTTCCCCCCGTTCACCCAGAGGGACTGAAGCTGGAGATGCTAGACGGCTTAGTGAAGGTCCTAAGATGGTGCTGGACTTGGAGTTCAGACGTGGGCAGCCTGGTTCTAGAGACGGTGGCCTTTACTCCTGTGTGGTTCTGCCCCCCTATTTTATACTTGGAGCAGGCATTTACTGGGCCCCTACTATGTTTTTTATGTTGTTTATTTTGATCTGCCTTATCTACACTGATTTTGCACATACCAAATCCCATTGACTGATTGCTTTCTTTAGTTTTTCTCCTGTTTAAAGTGATAAAGGATCAGTGGAACAAACCTCTACTATCTCTTAGTATCAGCCCTTACTTTGTGAAGCATTTTCTCTAGAATTTATACATGCGGAATTATACATCATGTAAATAATGTATATTTCTCACAGAAAATATGATAAAGAATAAAACAGAAAATTAGATATACTCACAGCCTGACTACTGTTAAGCTTTCTTTTTCCTTGTGGATATCTATATACACATATATGTGCTTATGTAAATGAAGTAACATGTCATATTATTTTGTAAACTGCTTTTTAATCTAATACATGATAACCTCCATACATTCAACAAATAATTGTCAATCACTTACTATGAGAAAATTGCTGTAAGCAGAGACGATGTGGTCCCTGCAAAGAAAATGGAGCTTTCACTCAAGCAGGGAATGGCAGATATTAATGATATCATCACACAAATAAGTATAAAATTACAACTGTGATGAGTGCTGCCAAGGATCATAAGTAGTGTTGGGAGGGCCTCTAATGAAGGCATGTTGCCTTAGGGGAAGGCTTCCTGGAAGAAGGGCCACAGGCGGAGCTCTGCAGGAGGAGGAGGGACCGGAGGCATCAGTGCAGTGGTTGGGAGCCTGCCTCTGGAGCCGGACCCTTGGTGAATAACTCCGGCGGGCTTTGGGGCACAGGGGCTCTCCCTAGTTGTCTGGTACCTGGCCCTGAGATAGATGATTTAGGGCAGGGCAAGTATTGGCGTAGTGAGTGAGAGTTAGATAAGAAGGTGGGGGTTGGGTGTGGCCGTGGATTGGCTAGTCTGCACGTGGAAGGCACATTCCAAGCAGGCTGTCCACCAGTCCTAGGAATCAGCTTAGGAGAAGCAGTCTGTCTCCAGATCTGTAAGGTCCCCCAAGAGATGTCAAAACAATGTAAGATACAGAAAATAAAAATACATAACTAATACAGTTAGTACCTGACAATCCACAATGCGGTGTGTGGCTCAGCCTAGGCAGTCGGACTATGGTAGCTGCTGCTGTTAGCATGGAGGGCTGGGAGAGGCTGTGAAAGGAATCTAGAGAGAGCTTACTAGGTATCTATTTTATTCAAAATAAAACCATTTAACTTGTGATGGGATTGCTGCCCAGAGTGACAGTTCTCCAGCCTAAAACTGTGTCTTTGTTTTCAGTTGAATGTTTCGATTTGCTCTCTCTTAGTTTTACTCTGTCCATCACTGTAGGTCATTCTTTGGTGATGATTTTGTTAAAGAACCTGCTTGTAGGAGCCTCTCGTCCACATTTGTACTGTCACATTCATGACGGATAAGTATGTCAATCAGTATGGTTCTACAAAGTGTGAACTGGTTGGTTCTTACCACCGTATTGCTTACAATCCAAGCTGCTAACTGTAACCCCAATGCTTACCGTATACTTACTCCCTATATTCCACCTACTCTAAGTTTAAAAACCATCCGCAACGTATCTTTAAAGTCGATGAAGTAATTGTCTTTGACTCTCTCCATCAGGCAAGAGACTTTCGGCTGCCAGGCTCGCTGTCTCCTCGTTGCAAATTTATCATGAGCACCATCTCCTCCAGCCGGTCCTACAAGTTGCTGTGTGCCTGCCCCGATGTGAGGATGGTGGAACTCGTTAGCACCAGAGATGAAGAGGTGAAACTATACATCTTTAGACAGTACCTCTCCTTCCCCCACAAAGATCCCTTCCAACAGAGCAGACATACTTTGAGGAAAAAAACAAACTTGAGTCCTTTAAAACTCACATTCTTGGCAAACGAATTGAGAGAATGCAGAATCTACCGAAACGAGTTTCAGTGTCTGAAGCAGTACTTGGGAGTGGCCTCTGTTCAGGAGCTCTGGGAACTGATTCTGAAACGCTGGATTGAAGACTATAGTTGGACTTTTAAACAAAAAAAAGGCAAATTCAGACACTGTGGCTTCAGAAGAAGGTAGGCTTTGGCTAGTATTGACTACCTGGTACAAGTCCACAGGGAGAAAGATGTGTGGTGGACCCCACCCCAGGGAGGAGGGCCTAGAGAAAGGATTGTCAGAGAAAGTACAAGATGCCCAGTTAAATTTGAATTTCAGTAAATGACAAGTAATCTTTTAGCATGCGTATCTCAGATATTAAACTACAGATAAATAACAGATAATTTTTTGTATAAGTATATCCCAAATATTGCATAGGACATCCTTAAACCAAAAATTAATTTCTTGTTTATCTGAAATTCAGATTTAGTTGGATGCTCTATATTTTTATTTGCTAAATCTGGCAACCCTGTACCTGGGGAACTCTGTGTGTTGACTGTAACAGGAAATGTTTTAGGCACAAATTGCAGTCACATTTCTTAGGGATCTAAAGAAATGAGCCTTTGTTATTTCTAGAATTAATTTTAATCTCTCTTTTGAGCCTACAGTCCCACTGATGATGGAAACTAGGTTAATCCAGGTTAATCTCATCAGTGTAGTTTGTTTTCAGTCGATTCGGGATTTCTTTCAGTCAAGTGAGGATTTGTGTCCTTGCTGTGTCCCTGTTGGGTTGAGCTTAGATCTGAGGGCCTTGGTGCTGGGTGTCTTTGGTTGTCATCTGTCCCTGCTAGCTTCCACTGAGGTGGTCATGGCCCCAGATGGTCCACAGACACTGATGCTCCCCATTTTTGGCATCCTCTAGGATGCCTGTGTTCCCATCTGTTCTTGGGTTGTTCCATCTATGCCACCATCTGCTGCCACATTCCTTCATCCTAACGTGCATCCCTCAGCTAACTTCTGCACTCTTTTTGAGCCCACAGCCCTTTAGGCATTCCCCATTCCCCATAGAGAATGTCACCTCTCACTGCACCACTTGGAGGCCCAGGCCCTAGAGGTCCCCCTTGTTGTCCCCACTGCCACTTCTCTTCCTGGTGGCATTGCAAAATCTGCAAAGCTGCTGCCTTCCAGGCTTCCAGTGGGAAGCCAAGCTCAGGTCCTGCCTACTGTTGGGCCCCCGGGTGCATCTGGAGGTCGATGTCTCCTGGCTCCAAGCTCGCTTGGGTTTGGGGGAGGACATAGGCCCCTTTTCAGAAACCCACTTGAGCATCTTCATTGCTCTCTTTTCTCAACTCACTCCTCCACCTTTCTCAGTTCAGCAAAATCACTTTACTTCCTGGGTGGAGAAAAAAACGTTCTCTTTATATCATCCTGTAATTGTCTGAGTCTGTTATTTGTGGTGAAAACAATGTTTTTTCAGGAGTTGGCTAGGAATTTGTCTTCTGATACGCAACAATCAGGCTTATGATAGTCAAAGTTGTTCTCAAAAGCTGTTGGCTCTGCTAATGACGAGCTTCAAAAGTCTCTTGAAACTTGAATTTTTCTCTCTTCATTTCTGCTGTAACAACCATCTCTTAAGGGCAGTGAATTTAAAATGGAGCAGGGATGGGGAAGTGAGTGTATGGAGAGAGAAGCAGAGGACACTTGGAATGAAAGACACATTGTTTGGTCCTGCAACATAGTGTTCTGTCCTGTTTTTTGCTTGCGAGTTTACATTTCTTCAAACAAAATTAACCTCAAATTTAGTATGTCCTCCCCCACCTGCAAGGAGGTGGAAACAAGGTCTCTGTGCCCCAGAAAGAATCACTCAGGCAAAAACTCCCATGGCCATGCCCTTGGCTATCCCCACATCTCCAGGATTGTGCAGGGAAGCCCAGGTCCTCCCCTCCCAGGGACTGCTCCTTTTCCAGGTGATTTTCCTGCTCCCAGCGCTGCCCCACTCAGGCTCGACCACAGGTACAGGAAGAGCTTGGTTAAACTGGGGTAAACCTCAGAGGAAGCTTGTATAGCTGGGTCTGAACAGCTGCCTCTGCTTGAAGGTTGTAGGTATTTGGGGCTCATTGCCCAATCTTAGCATAAGAAATCCATTTAGAATGGGAGACCTTGCTGCCATTTCTCTCTGTGGTCTTAAGCATCTCTTTAGAGTTGGTTGATCATAAAGCCAGTGGGAAATCCAGCTACAGTGGAGACACCTAAGTGCTGGGTGAGTAATGAGTAGCTGGTTCATACGGTGCCTGTGAAGGTGAGGCAGGACAGCCATCATACAGGAAACCCACTCACACCCATCTGTGCAAATTGGATGTTCGAAAATCTTAGTAAAAACGTTCAGCAGAAATGCTCAGTGTAATAATCGGCAAGCTTGCTAGTTTGTAAGCACAGGTGACGTGGATGTTGTGACAGTGTAGGTGATAACAGTTAAGAGTATGGGTTCTGAAACCAGGGTGTCTGCATTCCAAATCCCAATTCTGCACTGATTTCTGTGTGACCTGGGGTGAGTCATTTAACTTCTCTGTGCTTCATTTTCTCATTTGTGAGGCAAGAGCAGTAATATGATCTACCTATAGGATGACTGAAAGAAATAATTGGTTAGTCATATAAAACATCTCGAATGCTGCCTGGCACGTGTGAGCTCTCCGTTGTTGTCATCGTCATTCTGTTGTCTGCACAGGGCTGGACAGTTGGGTGGCCGACACCGTGTGCTTGTTGAGCACCTCGCTTTGTTGTTTGGCTGAGCAGATGAGATAATCCAGCTTCTGGACATGCTGGGCTACAAGGACCATTACAAAGTGACCACGTCACACTGGGCTGCTTTCTGCAACGCCACCAAACAGTGGGTCTAGGAGGAGCCTGACAGCCTCCTGTACTTCTGGCACCAATCCCTGCGAAGTGCTGTGGAGCCAAGCTTCTTGGTAAGGTGTGACTCTGTGCAGACACGTGCTGGTTAAGGGGAGGTGAGAGGCCCATCCAAGGGAAAGCTTGTAGCTGGGATTTCTCAAGTAGAAATGAGTCTATTAACATGTATTAAAATGGTTATGTAAGTAAGACTTATACTTGGCTATAACAGAGACTTCACTTCAATTGCTTAATATCCCAGGGTTTATTCTCTCATATGAAAGACTTTTGGAGGTTGACACTCCAGGGCTGCTCTGTTGGTTCCACAAAGTCACCTGGGACCCAGCTCTTTCTATGTCTGCTCCACTGGTTTGCATTCTCAAGGTTATCTCATGTTCATGACTACTGGAAACAGCATGGCTGCTGGTGCTCCAGCCATCACATTTCAGGCAAGAAGAAGGAAGAAGAGAGGAAGAAGGGCTTGTACTTCCTTTTAAGGAGTTTTCCCAGAAGTTTTCCACCAACATTTCCACTTATGTCTCTTTGACCTAGAACTTCATCTTTTGGCCACAGCTAGTTACAAGGGAATTTGGGGACTAGAGGTTTCACCTGGGTGTGTTGCTTCCCTAAACCAAGTGGGGATCTGTCACTAACAAAGATGAAGGAAATGGATATTGGGTAGGAACTGGAAATCTCTGCTCTAGTTCTCAAATCAAATTCTTACCCCTTACTGAAAATGACTGCAGGTCTGAATCAGAGAAATGACAATCACAGGCACCCAACCTGGAAACAGAGCTCTCTCTGACAGTTACTTACACAGAGGACTTCAGGTCTAAGGAC